CTGACTTCCCTTACCCCTAGTACAATGAGGGTTACAGGAGTTGGAGTAAGAAGTCCTCCAGCTTGACATTATTTTGACATTGTTGAAATAACTGTTTGTAGTGTAGATGCGGGACTATGTTATTTTGGAATAACATCAGTTATTCCGAAATAACACTGCTGTGTAGACGTACCTGTATAGACCTTGTTAAAGAGGCAGAAAATCATGAAAACTCTGGATCACACTGTCTTAGTTAATAGGGAAAAATCAAGGATAGAGAATATGGACAGAAGTGGAGAAGGAGTTGAAGGATATTTACTGTCTATTGTTATATTCCATATTGCTTATTGAATCAGATTATTGTATGTAATCAAGAGACAAGTACCATATTGTCTCTTGATTACAGTTTCCATATATATAATTTTTGTATATTCCTATGGTACAAATTTTGGTCTTTAATATGAGGCTCTCTCTGTTGTTACTATGAACCATCCTTAAATTGTTAGATATTACTCTGTCTTTGCAGTGTCTGGGAATTGACCTAAATGTTGAAATGCCTTTGGCCATTGATTGCTCAAACCACCATAGAGTTTAAGCTTACAACAAAAACTATGAAAAAGTCAGTATTTGCCAATTCTCACCACACAGTGCCCACATATGTATCACAGGTATCTTCTACTGAAAGTACAAGGAAAAGCTGTGGTAGTCTCAGATATAATTGCGTGGAAGCAGTTGACACATCATGACATTTCAACTGCAGCCACTGTAGTTTGAAAAGAAGTAGATGGCAGAAAGTATGACTGCCTGAATCCTGACAGACAGGAGGAGCTGTGGAATGGCAGTTAAGCATATTGCCTGTTTCAAAAGGTGAAATCTATTCCCCTCATCTGAAATTGGGGCCCACTGACGTGCTGGAGAAGGATGATTAGTCATGGAGGAATTAAGGAGAGTCTATTTTAGGACATGTTTGTTCACCCAGTGTCCCTACATTCTTCTCATTCTTTTCATTTTCCAGGGCTCAGTAGGAAAATATCAAGGGAACTAGTACATGGAATAGTTGTAATAGAGAGCTCACTCTGATGCTACACCCACATCAGGTACTCCAGCAGCCAGTCTCCGAAGATGACATTACATTGAACTTATTTATGCCAGTCTACACCCATTTAGTAAATCTCATCTTTTAAAATTTCAGTTTGTTTTTTATTGTTAATCAAAAATTGTCTTCATTTATTTGAGAGCCAGGTTTTATTTTAAGGCCGAATAAATCATGTTTTTGATTCAATTGTGGGTAGAAGATAAAATAAAATCCACGAGTGGCATTTTTATGCTACTTTTGAATGTAGTGATATATAACAACAGTGTAGCTTGCCATATCTGCAATTTTGCTTCTGCTTTCTCTTGTACAATTCATACTTGCTTATATATATTTAGGGTAATCAGGATAGCCAAAGTTAACATTACATAATGTGTTATTCTGATTTAGTGCCTAGGCTTACTCCTTAGCGGAGAAGAGGAGAAAGGAGCAGGTAGAAAATAGTTTCAGACACTAGATGTCAGTCCATTCTGTGCTGTGGGTACATAGATGGGGGTGTATGTATATATATTTTCATGGAAAATCACTCAGAACTTTGTAAAACAAAATCTCTCCCCCTCCCCTCCCTCCACCCTCCCACACCAAGTAACTTTATTACTTTAAAGCTTGTTATGTGAAAATAAAAAAATTGGAATTAAGGATCTCTAGCTAATTTGTTAACTTATTCAGCATCATCAGCATCATCAAGGGACAACATGACCCTTTTCCCCCAGCCCTCTCTCTGGCTCAGCCTCTGTGGAGTTAGGCTTTGAAGGCAGAAGGCCCCAGCAGGTAATCCACACTCCAGGAACAGTATGTAGGCTGTAGCCCTCAACAGATTTTCTGGGCAGAAATGGCTATTTAAGAAGGCAGCCATATCTTCCTAGATGGAAAGATCAGCAGTTCCTTGCAGCACTGGGGCATGCTATCTGGGGAGCCAGGACATAAGGGACAAATTACCTCAGCAGCTCGCCTTCCCCTCCCAGTATCATCTAGTGTGGCATCTTCACGCCTCACCAGGACCCTGCTGATGTCAGGAATTCTGAGCTGTGAGCAGTTTACGGTGGGGTGGGAAATTTGGCTGTGGGAGTGGGAAGCTGGGGAGAACTAGGGTGGTAACTATGGAATGGGTCAGATAACAGTCAGGTCCTGGTGGTGACTTTTATGGGCTACTGCAATGTAAATAATGGTAATAACACTCTATAACATGGGTTCCAAAACTGGGGGGAGTGCCCCCCAAGGGAGTGTGAAGAAATTCCAGGGGGCGCACGAGGCAACCCAGCCCCCCATCAAATTTTGCTGCCCCACTCAGTTCCTTTTTTTTTTTTTTTTTGCTCAACAAGTTTTGCTGGGGGCGGGGGGAAGGAGGCGTGAGCTTTTTTCCCAAAATCAAAAAGGGGGGCATGATGCTGAAAAGTTTGGGAACCACTGCTCTATAAAGTATCTAATATACTCCTTGGTACTTAGCTCTGTCATCTCTCCCATTTTTTATTTCATTCTCTTCTGCTGACAGGCCCATCATTAAGTGTGTGTCGTCATTTTAACAGTTAGAGAGAGGGTGGGCTAATAGTGTCCTCAAGGGGGCGTGGTCTGTGGTTTAGCACCTCCTCTCAAACATGGCTAGCACATCTAGCTCACCCAGCTGGCCAGTGTATCTAGTCCCTGCCAGCTGGGTAGTTCATGTGCAGCTGTCAGCTGGGGTTGTGTGTTGCGCAATGTCCAAAGGGTCAGCCAAGCAATCACCTTCATTTGATACCTTAGATATCTCCCTGGAATCCTGGCCTAGCCCATTGTTGGTCCCTGCGGCAAAGGGCCCACTTGGCAGTATCTGTACTCTTCTGTTCTGTATCAGCCAGAGCAGAATTTGACAGTAAAGGTTCAAACCTGCCCTGGGCTACACTGGTGCACAAGGTTGGTGTTATATCCCCCAAAATCGTGGCTGCTAATTCTGGCTTCTAACTGAGCTCCAGTGACGTTAATTGGCTCATAATACCTACAAGAAGAAATAAAGTAACAGAATTAGCTGCAATGGCACAGTCAGAGAGAGAATCTTTGCTTCTAAACTACATTCAGCACTGCTTCATTCTTGGGTTCAGTCTCCAACTAACTAGAACTGCAGCTTCCATCAAAATGGCAAATCTTTTGAACTCTTCCACCCAGAATGTTGCAGGCCATAAAGATGCAATAACCATGCTTTCACCACAGTGTGGGAAGAGACTTTCCACACATACAGAAAAGAAGGATCTATACACAGTGTTTGAGGAAGTGTTCCGAGAGAAATGGCAAATGGGCTGGTCAACGTGCCACATCCATTAGGGGGTATGGTTTGTGGTTCAAGGGTGGTGGTGTCCAACCCACCAGCTGGTTAGAACCTATTCTGCAGCCAGAAATTAGTGGTAGGCTGGCATGCATTTTGTTTCTGCTCATAGGAAGAGCAAGATCCCTGAAAGAGAGGTGGGAGCCAGATATATCTCTTCTCCCCATCATTGTGTTATCTAGGAACAAAATTGGCCCTAATTCTGTACATAGGAAGGAAAAGAAACTCCCGAGATGTCAGCACCAAACTGTATTCATCTTGCAAGGGTTGTTAATGCATGGTACTCATTGTTCCTTTCTCCAATGTCTTTATTTATGTCTTTTTTTTTAATAAAATAAATGTGTGAAAGGTGCAGTTAATTCAGTGTTGGTTAAAGATGCTAGTTAAACAACCCAGGAGACTGAACTTGTCTAAATCTCCACTGAAAAGCATAAACAGTGGCAGAGCATGCATCCCTACCACATTCATCCTATGAGAATGCCTGAATCCTGACCTGGAAAGCACCTTGAGGGCAAAAATGTAGTATGTTCTCCAAGCGTCTCCAATCTTTGGCCACTCCATTCTACAAAAAAGTTGCCAGTTGTGGTGATAGCTTTTCTGGTGTCAAAAATTCATTATAGCAACTCAGTAGAGATGGTTTACTCATTTCAGAAAGACCTCCAAACAGCGCAGGTAGTAATGACTTGCGATCATTTACTCTGGGGAAATGCAGAGGTGGTTTAATGATCTATTGGACAGATAAAGGCTTGGTATTCTAGTGCACATCCCCTAAGCCAGCGTCTCCCAAAGTGTGGTCCGCGGCCCAGTACCGGTCCTTAGAAAAATTATCGTGCACAATCCTATTAATTTGTGTGACATGGTAGCAGCACTCTGCACTGCTGAGAGTGGCAGCATGGCCCTCTTGGGAGAGAGCCCGCCACTGCAGCGTCTCTGCTGGGCATGCTCCTGGGTGGTGGAGCTAGATCTAGCGGGTGCTTGGACCCAGGGAGAAGGATGGAGGGCAGAACAACCCACTGAACAGGTAGGGCCAGTGACACGATTTATTTGCATATTCATCATTTGCTTAATGAATATGCAAATATGCAAATAAATGTTCCCGGTCCTCCAAAAGCTTGTGAATGGGTTTACTGGTCCCCAGAATCAAAAAGATTGCTCTAAGCCATCCAGTCCATTCAGTGTATTTGAGAATTGCAGGATATGAAGACACTTGGATTCTAGAGAGGAAGTTGCAAGGACCAGGTCATAATTTAGTGTAAAATTGCTGAAGTTAATGTAGGGTATGTCAGCTTACACCAGCTGAGAATTTGGCCTCTACATTCAAGCCTTAGAAGTGAAAGGTCACTGTTATTCCTGCAGTGTTCTAGTCCTTAGCTTTTGGTCATTTTTTCTGAACTGTTAATAAAGCTGGGACAGAGTGCATTTTAGTGCCTGATAGGAAACATCTAACAGGTAAGTTCTCTGGGCAGGCACAGTCTTGTAATAGGCTTGTATAGTGCTAAGCACAATAGGGCCTTGGCCTACAGGTGCTACTGTAACACAGATTAATTCTAATAAGCCTGCCGTAAGGGATTTTATACTATCTATATGATTTTTCTCAGAGTCTTATGTGGATTTCTCCTCTTTGCTTTTCAGGAAGCATTATCAGTAGTCAGCGAAGACCAGTCCTTGTTTGAGTGTGCCTACGGAACCCCACACCTTGCAAAGACAGAAATGACGGCCTCCTCTTCCAGTGAATATGGACAGACATCAAAGATGAGTCCACGTGTCCCCCAGCAAGACTGGTTATCACAACCACCAGCCAGAGTCACCATCAAGATGGAATGTAACCCAAATCAGATTAATGGGTCAAGGTAACGAGGCCAGAGTTTAAAATGACTAGTAATAATGCTTTACCGCTATCTGTTTCTATCAAAGAAAGGAACCTGTATGGTCCTTACCGCTGTAGTACCTGGGTTCCTGTGCTTACCAATATACTGTGGGAATATCAGTCCATGTCAAAATAGGTTTTAGGGTAAAAGACATCACAGCAATTTGAGGCTTGTGTAGTTTTTGCTGTTGTTTATTCAGACTTGGGTTTTATTCATAGGGTTGGGATAGCAGATGTAGCAAACCTATCTGATACAATATATTTTCTAATTGTTTTTTAGAAACTAACGCAGATTTAGTGGGAGAATACACCTTCAAGAACTTTTACAGTCTGATAAATAGAGCTTCACTAAACTGAACAGTGTTTTGCCTGGGTGTTTCACATAATTTTTCATCAGGGGATTTTGGGAGAAAGGATTTCATTTACAAAGCCACTTCTGTGCAAAAAGTTTGTGAATTTTAAAAAAAGGAGTACATGTCTCACCCAAAAGCCACCTGTTGTTATCCTCATCCAATTAAAGCCACTGTAGTTCAATTAAAGGCTACGATTAGCTGATTGGACTTTGAAAGACTATTTTAGCAGCCACATTTGAAAAAAGGTTAATTATTTCCAGTAATTATGTCCAGTTGTATTGATAAATGATTTATTCAGTATATTTTTGCGCTAAAATTACTACACGTAGTATCCTATTTTAATCAGATAAGCTAAAGACGTCTTTGGCTATGTCTACACTACCAGGTTATTTCAAAATAAATTATTTTGAAATAGTAACTCCCAAAATAACTGTTTCAAAATAAACGTATTCCTCTTCACAAACAGGAGTTATTACTTTGAAATAACAAACCCATTATTTTGAAATAACAGGGTTGATAGTGCAGACGCTTGCCTCATTATTTTGAACATAGTGCTAGTGTAGACATGCCCTTAGTGTTATTTTTAAAAGATTGCATTGGGCCAAAAAGGGACCTGGAAGAGTTTTCTTGGTTTTGTGATCTTGACCTGATCTTTTTGATGAGAAAATGGTAATAACTCATAGCTAGGTGTTTCAGCTGCTCCCTCTGTCAAAAATGTAATGTACAGTAATAGGATAATGTAAGAAGCAAGCCCTTATAATGACAAACAGAGTGAGCTGTGGATCTTTATTCCCATTTTCATAAAACTTCACAGGAGTGACCTGAGGTCTCATGTTTAAAGTGCCTCACTCTAGCAATAGTTTCCATTTTTATGCATGATTGCTAGCTGTGTATAAATAGCGGGTACAAATTCCCATTACCTTGTAAAAAAGAGCCTGCATTTATTGACACATTAATCTGGTCTCCTAGACTCAAATCATTCAAAACAAAAACCAAAATGTAACATGAAAAACAAAACATCTACATGGAACTCCGCCCCACCAAAAGGACACGCATGTTGTGGATCTGTTTATATTTGCTACACTGCAAAACATCAGTACCATAGGTATGATAAAGCAGTCCAGCAGTTCTGGATTCTCAGAGAGTAATTCTGTACAGTAAATTGTGTCTCACATTGACAAAGTAATACAATATATTTTCAAAACTGGAGAGAAAATTCTGCTGAGATCAAATTTGAATTTCCACCAAATTCTCAAAAAATTGTGACACAGAAATAACAGTTCACTGACATATAAGTTATACAGTGGTTATATATAAGTTATGTAATCTTGTAAGATCAGTCAAAGACAGATTTCTAGTTTTATGTATTGAAAAGGTTTATTTATAGATAAGAATGTAAATGTTTTTTATCAATTAAAAAAGCAATGTTTCCCTCCCCCAAATATTACATTTAAATACTCCCCATTCTTCATGTTAGTAGATTCTGTGTAAGAATTGGTGGTTATATCTGGCTCAGCTCAGTGAAATATTCAAGAGTAAACAAATAGCATTACTGATTATTTAGATGTGTTGTAGTTATTTGTGATATTGTTAATAACTAGGGATGGAAAATCTTAGCTTCAAATATACATTTAGAAGGAATCTGGATAATGTGAGTCCATCTGAATTTTGTAGTTGGTCCCATTTCTATGATGGCACAAATCAAAATTCCACATTAAAATTCCCACAGATTTTGGGATGCTCAAAATCCAAATGAGTTTGACTATTATAGCTTGGAGACATCATTATTAATAATAATAAATAATATAGATTCTGTTTAAATGTATGATGACAAATCCCTGGGTACAATGAAAATATGCACATGTGGTTCAGAAAGGGGTGCCAAATGTGGCTTACAGCCATCTTTCCACACTGTGATACTGAACCAGATGTGAACTGAGCTGTTCCTATGGTGTAATTTAGACTGATCATCCAGCTGCTTGAAATCATTCTGGTTATCAATTGCCACAAGAGGGGGTATTATGCCACCCAGGAGTCACCAGAGCTTCTAACCGCTCACATTTTCCCCATTCCACCCCCTTTGCTGGCCACAGGCTGAGGAAGTGGTGTTATGAACCATTATTTGAGCTCTGCACTGCTGGAGGACCACCCTACATTAGAGTAATGCTCACAGAGCTGATGTGTTCTGGCAGTGTGGTGCAAACTAACTGCAGAGCGAGCAAAGTTTGAACCCCAGTATTTTTTATCTTGACAGAATCACCTAATAAAACAATGGACGATACCAAGTGATTACCATTGTGACCTGGCACACAGAACTTTATTCAGGTCATATTGTCTTAGAGGATAATGCAAGTCACTCTTACAGTTTAAATAAAACATGTGACAAAAAACGCTGATCTTCTAAAATGGCTACCACAGCCAATTCTGGTTCCTTAAGTAGAAGGAACAAAACTGTTAATACACTGAATATAAAATAATAAGTGGAGACTCTGTGTTTGAAGTAAGGTTGACCTTATTAACTTTGTACTCATCAACACACCACATTAACAGAGCAAAACAGAACTGACGAATGGTAATGCACTTACTGCAGACAGCCAGGAGAATTTATAAATCTTCACAGGGGGAGTTGTCAAATATTTTTGTCCAAGTCCAAATTTCTTGGTCAAGATATAGTCAAGGTCCAGACTCCAGAGTAAACAGTCATATAATAAGAACAAAAATGATAATATTAAGTAAATAAGAAAATTTCAGGATCCGTGCAAAAGCATCTGGCTATTCAGATTTGACTTGGGAGCCATCTGTTAACTACCTGTTCTCTACAATTTCTGAGCTAAGAGGATTTGTTGAAAAAATAGATTAACACAAGAACACCATGATTTATGTATATGCAGCTGTGTACTTAACACACTTCTTTATAAATGTACTAAGGTAATTAACATTACAAACTTTTTATAGGGAAAGCTATTATTTTATTGTGCCTAACACATACATGCAAAAACAGATCTGTACTTAACTCTTCTGCAGTAATGAATATACTATAATAGGGTTTTTTTTATACTCTACTACATTATAGGTTTTTAAAAACCTTGAATTTGAAGCAGTTTTTTAAAATGACTGAAAAATGCAGCTCAAGCTAAGTTGTAATATGAGGCTCCACTGTATTTCGAATTTCTTATTATAGGACAAATCAGAATTTTCAAAAGGGACACATGTTTCCTTTGGTTCCATGCCATGGAGTAAATGTCCCCAAAAGTTATAACAGTTAGAATCCAACAAGGCCAAGTGCAAGAGAAAACCAGCTACATGCTTTGTCACATCACTGCATAACTGCAAAAGGGAGTCTTTAAAAGATAAGGTAGAAAACAGCACTTCTGAAAACTAGGTCCCCTTTACTTACATTGTAAGAGCAGTTGCATGTTTTTGTTATGCATTTCTAAAGCAGCTCACACCATGGAATCCTGATCCAATGTGGCAAACCTGATAAAGCCTGAGGACTGCCAACAGTCATTACATCACAAAAGAATGCCTGTCTCACTGAGGTAGGCGCCTGGTCATGAATGCAGAATTTCGGGGCGAGCAATAAAACAATGGTGATTTGCCAAGGTTAGCCTCTGACAGGCTGCAGCCACTATATTTACTTGCGCCTGCACGGGTACCAGTGATCGCAGCACCTGTTGGCCGCAGATCACTGTTTCCAGCCAATGGGAGCTGGGACACCATTTCCCACAGCTCCCATTGGCTGGGCACGGCAATCCACAGCTAGCAGGACCTGCAATTGCCTGTACCTGCGGAGGCGCAGGTAAATACAGCGGTAGCCTGGCAGACCAGATTTAGCCCATGGGCTGATATTTGCCCACCCCTGCCCTAGAAAGATAGGCAGGTTACAGCAGCTTGAAAGGAATACAGTGGCCATGTGTGGTGAGTATATGTTTGTGGTCTCTAACAAATGTGGAAATTATGTGCTACATACTCATGTGTACCTGGGCCCCTGCTACTTGCTACTGATCCATACGTTTGGGCCCAGTGTTCCACAGCTTTCCTAACAGCCCATCTGTAATTTGACTCATGTTTAGTTAAGTAGTAGTACTGCCTGAAACTGAGCTGCACTATACTGACTGGAAATCTGCTTTACAACCTAATACACCTTTTCATGCCGTAAGGGCTTGTCTGCACTTACAGCACTTCATGAGAGTAGCTGTGCTTAGCAAAGACCCTACCTACTCGAGAGGTGGTAGTTATGTCACTGGAGAAGCCTTGCTGTCAGTAGCAAACATTTCACTCACAGGTGTGGATATGCCATACCACTGAGCAATGTAGTTATATTGACATAAATCTGTAATGTAGACCAGGACTTAATCTTTTACAGATCTCTTTTCTCTCTGCATTGATTTGCACCCCAGAGATTAAGTTTCCTTATTTTAATTATCCAGTTCTTAAAAGTAATCCAAATACATTCAAAAACAAAATGCACATAGTAGATGGCATGTATGCTCCTGTTTTTCATTTACACTAAAGTTTTTTACACCACTTTCGTTACAGTTACACCCACTTTGAGGCCTCTTCTTCACTCAGTGTAAATGGGCTGCAGTATATATATGCAGTATATATATACAATGCAGTGCTTATTTAT